TCTATATAGGATACTATCTGTAGACAAGAATTCAGGCCAAACTGCGATCACTCGATTTTCAAGCCCATATCAAAATATAGGCTAAAATTTCAATAAATTGACTGTATCTCGAAGAGAAAGCGCTATTAGCAGCTATCCTTTTAGGCTTTTACTAGACACACGAGTATCTACTTACGCACAAAATATCAGCTCAAAAGCGATTTTCAAGTTGGTGAATCTTCCTCGTCAGTAACCTCAGTAGGGTTTTTAATCTTACATAAATATGTGCGACAAAGTCTCTTCTATGTCGTAGTGAAAGCCACACTTCGTTATCGCTCTGCATTCGTCAGTTATTCTGAATTTATCAAATTTTTAAAAAGTGAGGCTTGGTACTTAAAGAGTTAAAAGATTCTTTCTCTTCATCTGTCAAACGTATAAAGAAGATCCATACAAGATATGGAAAAAGATAAAGTAATACTGAAATTTTTTCTGTCTTCTTTCACATGTATTTCGATTTTCAGATATTCTATTTGTGTGATAATTAATTTAAAATAACTTACTTTGACTAGCTATACTAATTGTATTATGTTTTTGAATAGTGGTCACTGGTTTAATATGAATAAGTGGAGGTGGTTTATCAAGTGATTTTTTCGTTAACATCGATTGATAATAACGTATGGAATTTTCTGTATGAACAGCCATATAAAATGGTTTTAGTGAAACATGTTGTAATGCACCTGGTAATAAACTAGTTGGATCAATTTCTTGACGTAAATTTATTGTTAATTGTACAAGATTACAGCACATATGAATAAATCGTTTTGTTGGTGACATATGTAATGTATCATCATAATCAGTTACTGTTGAATCTAAATCATTTAAATTTGAATTCGTTGTCACTATATTAGCACATGTTTGATTCCATTGTTGTAAAACAGTATGTGCTGTTTTACAAACACGTCTTGAGGAATTATTTGAACGTATTCCATTATTATTATTATTTGAATATGTTTTATTTAATGAACGATTTGGACGTGCAACACGTTTAGCATTTCTATGATCAACTATATTTCCTTGAGAAAAACGTGAACATAATAATCCTTTTCCACTTTCTTTTATTGTTACAACACAATTAAATGGACAATCACGACCTTGACAATAAAAATATGCTCGTAATAAATAACCTTTAACTGTATCTAAACGTCGACCATAATTTTTACTAGATGCACATATACCACAATGTGGATTATATTTTTTAATAAATGGTAAAACTATAGATAACCATTCCATATCACGATGTTGAATGGATTTAACATTGGAAGATGAAATATGATGAGAATTTGTATTATTATCAGTTGTTGTTGTTGCTGTTGTTGATAAACATCCATTATTATCAACTAATATTGGTAGACCTAACTTTGATAATTTTCGTTCATTTTCTTTCTTATAACTTGTACGACGCATTTCCAATAAACGATCAATATCTTCTGGATTTATAAAAAATTGAACTTGAAAAGAAGAATACATAAGAATTAAAATACATTTTTCAATAAAAAGGAAAAGACTGAAGTGTGTTTTTACACGTCGACACTTTCTGTCAAACCCTATTATCAGATCGGTTTAGAAATCTTTCGAGTAATCAATTGATTATTTACTACAAATAGCGACAAGAAAATAATTTATCATATTTGTACTTATTACTTTTAAACCAAAGACCGGCAAAAGTTGTCCCACGCTTTGCGTACCAGCAAGTTTCCCAAGAACTAGTAAGTTTCTTTCATGTTCCTGCGTCACTCCTGAAACATCGGGATGGCGTAGAAGCGCGCTCCTTGAGAAGTAGCATAGGCGTGAGCATCAGCGCGGGACAACTTTTGCCGGTCTCTATTTTGAACACTACATATATTTATAATAACGGTCAAGATTTCATTTATTCACATTTTCAAGTATCCAAAAAAAAGGGATTAATCCTTTGAATAGGAAATGATAAAAAGCAAAATAATAGAGAATCAACTTCGTTCCTTTATTTAACCCATTAATCCGCTTTATAACGGAAAAGAGGAACTTACATGATGTCGGTAAAATAACCCGAACAGGTATGGGTATTTTGCTGCCATTTTTATTTGTTGTAGCTGATGAATTAGTTGAAGATGAAGAAATAGGCAAATCTGCTTCGACTTCAACTTCACCATCAATATCCATCTGAAATATTGATATATGGATTTTGTCTCATATTAGCAGATCATTTTTCTCTTATTCTTTTTAAACATCAATTGTTTCCTTTTTTTTTGTGTATAAACTAAACAAATTTATTTCATGTTTAGACATATATATTTATATATATATATATATTTATAGACATCAAGAAGCAAATGACTGCAATACAAACAGTTAAACCAAAAAAGAAAGAAAAAGAAACGGCCGTCGTAGTATGTCAATCGAAAAACGAACGATACTGAAAGAAGAAAAAGACCAAACACAATAACTTTATAGAAGAGCTAAACGCAAGACAAAGAAGAAGAAAAAAAAGAAAAAAAGAAAAACAAATATGTCAATAATTCTTTTTTTTTTGTTTCCATAATCTGCAATCTATCTACACATACATATATGTATATATATATATAAAACAAAAAACTAAATAAATGAACAAATAGGCACACACACAAACACACGCGCGCATATAAATTGTTTATTTTTTTTTTCTGTCTTTTTTTCATATATCATAATCAAAATAAAGAAACAGACCAACAATAAAGAAAAATTTTATTAATATATATATATAATGTGCAACGTATATTTAAATGAATTTTGATATTTCGTTGAAATAAAAAAAACAATGAAGTTTATTGTTGAATCATTCGTTTTAAATCTAAATAAATTCAATTTAAAATTTCCTTTCCTTTTCTTTTCTTTTTCAAGATTAACTTACGTGCAAATTGAACAGAACATGCATGTAAACTATCACGTGCTAAATCAAGTTGTTTTTGTAATAGAATTGCTGTTGTTTGTAAATGTTGATTAAGAAAATTCATTTCATTACCCATCATTTGTAATACTTTGGAAAGCTAAAAGAAAAACAAATATCAATCATTATAAACAGTGATTTATCCAGCGGAAGGGCAATGTGGGCATCGCCTTACTGGAGAACGATTTTCCCCTCTCGAAAATTGCAATTTTTGTGCCTGTACTATGTATTTGCCCTTCGGAAATTAGATTTTCGCCCTCCCAGAAATCGCTATCGCACTCTCGAAAGGAAAAACCTCGATAAAACACTGACTGACTTACATCATCCGAACTCTCGTCCATATGTTGTACGGCAACATTTTGTTGTGGGAAAATCCCTGATGCTGATGTTTTAATAATAGTTTGCGGTTGTGATTGTTGTTGCTGCTGCTGCTGCTGCTGTTGTTGTTGTTGTTGTTGTTGTTTATTTCGATTCTTTTTAGTAGATTTCCCCGATGATGAATGTGCTGTTTGGGATAATTTTGTTCCATCAAGAATATCTAAACGAGATTTTTTATTTGGTGATAATGGTCCATTCATTGTTTGTCCTGGATGATCATCTGAAGAACGTTGTCGTTTATTAGATGTTGGTGATGTAAAATGAGCAATAGGATTTGTTATTTGATGATTAAGTAAAATATTTTCAGGTAATGTAACTGAAAATGCTTGATTTGAATCATGTTCATGTTTAAAAAGTAGATTTTCAATTTCATTATTGCTATTTGTATGTGATGGTGGTAAACCATTAGCCATAACCGTTGATGATGTTTGACGATTTGATGTTGTAGTTGTTGTCGTTGGATTATTTGCTGATTCAGTCATACGACGTTTTTCTAAACGTGCCATACGAAGTAATGGTTTTCGATCGACTGGTGATGCTATTCGATGAGTTTTACGTAGATGATCACTTAAATTAACTACCCATGTATCACAATTTGGACATCTAGAAAATAAATAAATTTTTCTTTTTCATTTATGTTTTTTTTTCTTCTTCTTGTCTATACCGTAAACGTGTTTCATAATCATTCGTATGTGTTTGATGATTATTTAATGGTTCATCATTCGAAGATGATCGTTGTTGTTGTTGCTGTTGTTGTTGTTGTTGATTCGATGAACTTAATTGAGATTGAGATGATGATGCGATAGATTGTTGTTGTAATGTTGTTTGTTCGTCAAGTTGATTATTATTTGGTTGAAATGTAAATGTTGTTGGTAATGATGTTGCTAATGGAACATCTGGCATCAGTGATTGCGAAAAATGAACCATTTTTTTCTTTTTTTTTTGGTCTTATCTCTTAATTATCCATAAAAATAATCTGAATTTTAATAAGCAAAAAATAAATAAATGAATAAGCAAAGTATTTTTCTTTAGTTTTTTTTTCTATATTAATTATTTAACAACGATTAATTCCATCAGTCTCATTACATCAGATGTGAATCATTACAAAAATATGTTCAACATCAAAGAAAGTTTTCCATCATTGGAATATCGTTGTATAAATTAAAGGGAAATGGAAATGACCTTGGAATTTCTTATCTTTTTTCTTTTTTTTTTAAATTTCTATTCTGATTTCAAATAGATCAGTGAATATGAATAGAACTGATATATATGTTTAAATGAATGCACATTAACTTTAGATAAGTCATTAATATTTAACAACAAACAACAACAGTTAGAAGTTTTTCTTCAGCCATGAATGTTGAGCCTTCATATTAGAGCACACTTTTTTTTCGAAATAAATTTTTTTTTAATTTTTTCATAAATATAATTTTATTATGATAATTAAAATAAAAATAAAGAAGATAGAAGAGAATTTTTTAAGAGTATATAAAATATAGATGTCGCTAGTTTGTGATACATCGAAATATAAATCGATGATTTTCTCTTCGATAATTATTGAAAGAAACAAATACGGAAAGATTAGTGGAGGTTTAGGGGAGGGAATAGTCGGCCCATATTCTCGCCCCCCTTCAGCAGAGATTTTTGATTTTTTACAACAAAAATGAACGAAAAAATAGTTTTTGATCGAAATCGCCCCTCCCTTACAAAATCCTAGATCCATTACTGGGAAAGATAATGATTGATAACTCACTTCTAAGAAGATGTTGATATAATTCATCTTGAGTATATCAATTCCAGTCTTTGAAATTAGAATTAAAACCATATTAGTAGTTTATGTAAATATGTATACGTAAGATTCTTCATTTCATAATAAGGAATTTCAAGTGGAAAAAATTAGAATTGGAATTGATGTATCTCTAAATATAATGATTGAAGTTTGAACTCTTCTTCTGTATGCATTACTATGTAAACGTCATAGACCGTAACTGTAATGATCGATATACGGTATCATATAGTTTTTTTAACATTTTCTTCTTCTCTCATTGCAGACACCTTGCCACACCCTATTATAGACCGTGACCAATAGAGTTTCAAAGGTAAAATTTATTGTGTTTAGTTATAAATGACTATAAGAGCAATTCAAGATTCTACAGTCAAAAAGAAATAACATAATTCTACAGTCCCGTAAAACATCGAGATTTATGAGGAATATGTAAATTTGTTATTTACCTTCTAACACAAATATGAATACTAACAATCTTGATTACTCTATGTGTTTTTTTTCTCTTGTATTGATTATTATATTCTTTCTACTATTAACTAAAATCATGATTTATTTCCTTTTTGTATTTATTTACACACAAATATATTGGAAAAGAAGTCCAATAATTTCGCTTTTTTTCTTGTATATACGTGCGAGACGAAAAAAAGGACTAATTAACATGAAAAAGAAAAAAAAGAAAATCATACAAAAAAAAAATTGTTAGAAAAAGAAAAAAGAAAACAGAATTGAAATATAGCTCGTTCAATTGAAATAGAAACCTCGTTCTTTACACGCTGTCATTAAACGAAGTTTAAGAATATCTTCATTTGAATAATCAGGTAATTTAAGATAATGATAACAAGTATTTACTGATGGATACGAATTATCATCAGCTTCAACTTTACGTGCTACTGATAAACGTGGTCGAAGATTTCCAAGACCTTTAAAGAAAAAAAAAAAAGTTGAAATTTATTATTATTTTCTACAAACCTCCTGGGGGTAATGATGAACAACCAGTAATAAATTGAACAACAGATTTACGTTCAAATCCATCAAGTGCTAACATAACATTAAGAAATTTTGTAAAACCCGAACTAATAAAATAATAAAATATTAATTTATAATTCTTTTTTTTTTTGCTCGACAAACCTTTCTCTTGTAAAACCGTGACTAGGTTCAATATATGTCAATAAATCGTCTAATGTCCATGACGGCCATTGATTACCACAGAGAAGTAATTGTAATTCTTGTGGATTAAAACATTGTAAATGATCAAGAGAAAATACTTGATTAAATCCACCTAAAAAAAAGTATATTTTTTGTTTTATTAAATAAATCTCAATAAATTCTATTTACTTCGAAATGCATCCATTTGACGACGAATACCATCACGAAAAATAAATTGAAGTGATAAATTAATATATTGATCAATATTATCAATCGTTACATCCTAAATGAAATTATTAAAAAATTTATTTATCTAATAGAATCATTTACAATATGTGCTCCATTTGGAATTAATTCAACTGATTCATATCCATAAGTATTTGATGGTGGTGAATAAACAAATGTTAAACTAAATAAATAAGAAAATTTAGTTTTCATTTAAAAAATTAGTTTTTTTGTATACCATAAATGTTCAATATCAATCGATTCATGTGTATCATTTTCAATTTTTAATAATTTGCAATGATCTTGTTTTTCTTTAGTTGTTTTTGTTTCATCGTTCAGTATTTGATTTCGCTTTTCAATAAGTTGAAAAAGTTTTTGAAAAAATTTTCCTCGTGTTGGTTCAATAGTTATTAAATCATTTAAATCAAGTATACCATCAAACCAAATTTCTTCATTTTTTGATTTCATACATAAAAGTTTTAAAAATGCTATAGATAATGGCATATCAATTAAATATTTATCTAATAAACATTTAGCAAAATAGATTCCCATTAAGGAAAAATAATTGCAAATATCATCTAATTTAGAATCATCTTGAGGATATGGTGCAGGAAATAAACCTTCTAATTTTCGAACATAATCTGTCTGATGTGATTCAAAATCATCATGATTCCACCATAAACCTAATTGATATTTTTGTAGATCATTTGCAATTAATGCATAAAATTCTAATGTTGGTCCATCACCAGTACCTTCTTCATTTAAAAATTGTATTTCTAATTTTGATTTTGATTTAGCATGATAATGAAAAAGATTCATTGCATCATGTAAAACATTTTCTCGATCAATTCCAACAGTTCGATCAATTTTTAAACGACCAAAACGAAATTCATGAAGAGAATTTTCATTTAACACACGTGAACGTAAATGATTACTATTACGTACTGTACGAATTAATTCTTCACGTCGTTCTTGTAACCATACAATTGAACGTGATGTACCAAAACTTGTTGTTCGAAAATATAATTGACGAGTTTCAAATGGATATAAAAATTTGTATGAATGTGTTAACCATGATGTCCATGATGGTAAACTCAATGAAGCAATTAATATTGAATCTTGAATTTGTTGTAATAATTTATTATTTAATTTTTTCGAATGAAAATAATTATCAACTGTAAATGTTTCATCATGATGTGGATATGTTTGTATATAATTTGTTGAAAGATAATATAATTGACGAAGAAGTTTAAGAATATCTTCAATAGTACAAATTTCATTAGAAGTATCAGTAACAGTAAAATCATCAATATGAGATGTCTAGAAAGAAAAAAAATACGTTTCTTTTTCAAAATAATCAATTATTTACATTTGGTTCTGAATGTTCACTGGATTTTTCTGTGTAGATAATACTAAAAAAAAGCAAAATTAAAGATAATTATTAGAATAAATCATTTAATTGTATATTTCTGTTATCCAGACTTCACAATTATCACATCTAAACATCGTTGTAAGGTTGTTAACGAACAAGAAACCAATCTTCCGATACGATATCGGACGTTCTTTCATATGTGAAATCAGATATACGAAAAAAAAACGTTTTGAAAGGTTGATTTCTTGAGATGGTATTGAAATATAAGAAACGATAGATTTTTTGTTCTCAATGATATCATATTGTTTTACTGAACTATTTGAGAGATTGAAAAACTTTTGTATTCATTGGAATAATCAGGACCCTGTTACGAAGGTCCGATTGCTCATCCTAGGAAGTCATCAAATACTAATACGAATGATCACCGAAAGGATATTACATCAAGTCTGAAGTCGAAAACTTTTAAGAGTAATCATTACTGTTATTTAAACTCTAGTATATGAGATAAATTTTTTTTTCTTTCTTACGTATATGTCGGTTCAAATATTCGTTTAATACGTTCGTATCTTTGTGATGATGGAAATGGATTAATTAATTGTTGTATATATTTAAAAATAGTTGCTTCAGAATCATCCATTTCAATTTCAATTTCTTTTAACTAAAATAATAGATTTATTAATATCATATGAAATGTCAAATAATAATACGAACTCCTGATATATGTGGTGATGGTCCTCGAATAAATAATCTCATATTAGAAGCAGTTAATGCGTCTATATTCGATATTCGTTTAGTTGCAGTTGCTAAGAAAAAAAAAGAATTTTATTTTTTTAAATAAATTTTATGATGATAATACCTTCTTTGGGTGCCATTGTTGTTGGTACTGGAATATCTTGTGTTGCATTTATATTTGTTCTACCTGGTCGACCATCAAATGCAGGAAGTAAAACTAAACGAAAATAAATTAAGATAAGACAAAAATAAAAGATTTATATTTACCAGAAAATTGTCGTTTTAAAACAAAATCATCATCCCAATTTCGATGTGTAATTTCTTGTTGTTGACCATGAAGTTGTTCTTGTAATTCTTCATTATATTCCTCTTCCTGAAAGTAAAACAAAATATACTAATACTATCTAAGTATTTGATATTTTACATCATCTTGTTGTTCTTCATCTTCATCTTCATCTTCTTCTACAGGTGCATCAATTTGTTCACTAGTCGGTTTAAGACGTTTTAATAATGTATATTCATCATCTTCATCATCAGTTGTTGTTTCATCCGTTTGTTTTTGTTGTTGATCCGATATATTTGTTGATTCTTCAATTGGATTTGTTTCATCATCAATAATTGGTATATTTGCTATATCAATTGTTGATGGTACACTTAAATTTGGACTACTCTGTGCTGTTGTTAAAATATTTAATAATGATATATTTATTGATGAAAGATTTGGTACACTAGAATTAAGATCATTTTCTAACCTAATAAATTAAAACAGAACAGAATAGAAATGGTAATAAGAAGAAAATTATTAATACATACGATATTATCTGTTGTTCAGTACATTCATTAGTAGCATTTTTCTTATTATTTTCTTCATTAGTAGCAGATAGAAATTCAACTAAAAAATAAAATTATACGTAGAAGAAAAAATTGTTCATTTTTCAGTGAATTTCGAAGAAGGCGGATATCATATTACTCATCTATTAGTATAAGATATTTGAAATTCGATCAATAAGATCATAGATAAGCAAATAGATGACGTCATTTTGTTCTGTTTTTTTTCTCATCCTTGCAGTTTGACCTACTTCTCAATGTTTCTCATACATGGGTATTATGCAATTAACAAAAGATAACCCTGGATGATTAAACTTTTTTTTTTGGGTCATAATTGATTGCTTATTTTTCGAAACAGAGTTAAACGAGATATTTTATTTAAAAATATAAATACCTGATTCTGTAGTACTACTAATCGATTCCGTTGTTGGACAATTATCTTCCGTTTTATTATTTATCTCATCTAAAAATTAATACTGTCTTGAATATTCTGAATTATAAATAAAGAGTAACTAACCTTTTGAAATAACAATTGTATCATCTTTAAATTCTCCAAACTCAAGCCAATTATCAGTATTTGTCATATCGGAATGAATTGGTGCAAGAAAATCTTCTGAAGATGTTGATTCAATTTGTGTTTGTGCAACAAGAGCATCATATTGTCGAGCTATTTGATCACAAAAACCTTGCATAAGCTAATAAAACAAAAAAATATATAATTATTATAGAAAAAAATCATTATAATTAATTTTACTTGAACAACATGATCTGTAGCTCGAGTTGATGAAACAAGATTATCTGCACTTGATGCTTGTTCAGTTGATGAAACTGTAAATGTTGATTCACCATTACTTATATCGGGTGTTGAAACACTTTTACGTTGAGATATTAAATTAAGTAAATTACTATTTTCATTTAATGTTGAATCATCTGTTAAACGTGAAAGTGTTTCTTCAATAACTAATCGTAAACGTTCAGGATCATCAGATTCAATAGCTGAGTAATAAAAAAAAACAATAAGATAAATGTTTTTTGTTCATTTAAAAATAAATAGTTGATTTACCTGTTGATAGATCAGTTGGAATTGATGAAAGATCAAATAAAATTCTATCGATTGTTGTTGATTCAGGACGATTATTATCGTTTGTAGAATTTGATTGTCCCGATGTATTCATACTTGCTAAACGTCGAAGTATATGTGAATGCATTTTATTTGTACGTGTAGTAGTTGATGATGTCGAATGAGAATGATTAAATGATGGATTTTGACGAGAATTTGTTGGACGATTTCGAATATCATCACGACAAGAACGAGAACGAGTTAATTCAGTTTCTAGAAAAACAATCAAAAATATACATATATGATTTATAATATTACTAATAAAAACCCTGAATGAGCGCCGCCCATCCGCTAGAGAAAACACTAACTTCTATCTTATAAATTAGTCTTAAATCTTACTTGAACGAATATCAATAGCAGACAGTACTTGTCCATAAGCTTCGAATCCAGCAATACAAACTGGATGTCGGCCAGATTTTTGATGAATACGAATATAACGAAAACCCGATGAATTTTCCATTGAATTTTTTATCATCCAAGTTGCTGTTGGTGAATTTGGTTCATTAATTAATGATGTTTCACAATGTGTAAAATGTAAACTATCTTTTGACATTTGAAATAATAATGTTTTTGGCCAATGAGCAAAACCACCTGTAGCATGTCTTAATGTAAAATGTGTTGGTATAATTACTAAACCTAAATCAATCATAATCCAACTATAACCACGATTTGAATCATCATGATCATCTATAGATGATGTATAGGAGATTACATCGGATAATTGTTGAGATGAACAATTACTATCAGAACAACTGACTAAAATAAGAAAATTGAATGGTAAATAAGGAGAAAAAAAAATCTTTTTTTGAAATAAAATACCTGTGACTAATCCGGTTGAACATGGATTTGTATAATCAGAAGTTGTTTTACCATTTGTACCAATCCAATATAAGATTCCATTTTGATCAAAATCATTTGCATATGTGAATGCTACACGATTGTTTGATTTTAATTGTTTAACAAATTCAAATTGATTATGAGCATGATCATACCATTGTTTCGAAACCTAGTAAATAATATATTCAACTTAAAATAAATAGGATTAATTTCCAGGCTAACGACTGTAATTCATATCTTAGAAATCGAATGAGTAATACCAGTTATTTAAACAAAACTAATTTTTATTCTGTTGAATCATATGAGTACATTCGAGCCTAACAAAAACTGAAGATTCACTTTTATCTCTTATTCAGAACTGAAATATCGTCAAGTTTGTTTGATATTCTTCTATAAGGATGTACTGAGATCGAGACTTTCGGTCTTTCCTCACGTTGTAATTTTTGTTCGTTTCTAAAATGTTCTTTCAAAGGCCAAATTACGAGTGAAAATGTATTTTCTTTTATCGAATGAGTCAGAAAATGTAAGGCGAAAACAAGGCAGAGACATAGGTAGTCTCGAGATTCGGTCTCGGTATATCCGGTATTAATACCCTTCTAATATTCATCTAAAAATTAAGTGTACTATTTAATAAAAACTTACCATTGATGCCAGAAATATTTTTAATTGTCCTACAGTTGCTAATGGTTCAATTTTTATTGATTTTCCTGTTCGATCTGTAAATAATTGTTGTTCATTTTTATATTGAATTTGAAAACGAAAACGTTTAGAAAAGATTTGTAAACCATAATTAAATGGTGCATCATATAAAAATAATGGTAATTTTTCAATTGATTCTAATATTGATATAAGTTTACGTATAAGAATTTGAAAAGCTTCAGGATAATCATCGGAAAGAAATATTGAACAAAATAATTTCGAACGTTCATATACTTGATCATTTAATGACAGATGATTATTTTGATCAAGTAAACCATGAAAAATTTTTAATAATGTTGTAACAAGTCCTGATGATGATAATTCATATATAGATAAACTTGTTTTTTCAAGAAGAAATTCTTTTAATTTTTGAAAAAGATTATTTAAATTCGTAAATGAATTTAAATTTAATTCATTATTTAAATCAATGACAATTGTTTGAAGTTCAATTAATATTGAACGTGTATAATTTGTTGGTGAAACATTTTTTAAATATTCATTATATATATAGAATGCTATTTCTGTTGTACGTTGTTTTGTTTGTTCTTGTTTACCTTTTTTATTAACTGCGAGAGATGCAGAATTATTCGATGATGTTAATCGTTCAATTGTTGACCATGGAATTAAAAATTCATTTGTTAATACTATCTCAGTATTATGCGTATGACGAATACCACGATTTGATTCGAAAATAAAACCGGATTGATCATGTTCAAGAATAGTTACCTATATGATAAATGATAGATATGAGAATAAAGAAAGAAAGCGCTGTCTAGAGATAGTTTCGAAAGCCAGATATTTTCTCTACAGTTATTACTAGTTGCAGTTCTAGGCAAAAGGTCGGCCTGACTCAGAGATCTTCCCGTACGCTCTGACTAATAGGGTTCGGCGGGACTGTCACGATCCCTATCCTGTCGGGAGCGGGATCAAAATCCCGACTTTTCTCTCGACAGGGCGGGTATCCCTGTTAAAAACGGGATAGGGATTACGGAATCCCGAGTAAATACACTAATGGGTTTTAAGTCTAGATGAATTGTATTCGCAGAAAATGGTGGACCGGGATCGGGACCAGTTTCTGTCGACTGGGAAACAATCGGGATCAGGATGAAAAAACCCGTCCCCCCGAACCCTACCGGCTAACTATAGGAGCCTTTGATGTGTGTCATAGATTCGGAAGATTTTTACTAATCTTGTTAACATTTTCAGAGGATACAATATATTCTTTGTATCAACTGGAAGCTTCAATAAGTTTGCAGAGTCAATCTATCTTAATGTCAATCAAAGGTTATAGACTAATAAGAACATAATCATGAGAAATATCATTCGGAGGACTATTTTTTTATAGAAAAAACTCTTGAATTCTGAGTCTGATGCAAATTAAAATTTTTTTTATTATCTAACCTGTTCGCCTTCAACATTATGAATTCTAAGTTGCGTAGGTCCATCACATTGTATTGTCCAATTTCCTACTGTAATTATTGTTTCATTAGTTGTATCCGATGTAAAAATTGTTCTTGCAATAATAGCTTGTTGTTTTTCATTATCTTTTTCTTGTTCTGTTCCATCAAAAACTTGTTGTTTTAATCGTTGAAATTTATCAATAAAATCATGACGATTTTCATCAGTATCAACATTAGTTTCTGGACTTCCTAGAGAAGAAAAAAAGCAATTCATAATACATAAAAAAAATGTAAAACAAACCTGATGAATACATTGTTGATAAAGAATTATTTGTAAAAAATCTAAACCAACCATTTGAACCCATTGATAATTCAATAACAATAAAATGATTCCATATATATAAACATTCACGATTTCTTAAGAAATTAAATTCATTCCATACATAAGGTCTATAACAAAGTATATCTTTTGCATCATTTGAAATAATATTTATAGCTAATAATTGATCAGATTTTTGATTTGTAATTTCATGTGATAATGCTAATCGAGTTATTTTTGATATTAAACCTAAATATTGAAATTGTTCAAGAAATAAACATTGATCTTTTTCAAATAAATTTTTTATTATTAATAAAACAATATTTGATGTATCATTATCATCTTCATTTGTATCTAATATTGTTGATAATAATTCAAATAATGTTGTTAAAATTTTTAATTGACGTATTTGTTCAACTGTTGCATATTGTATTAATTTTGATATTAAACGTAATGTACTACGTTTTATTGTTAATATCATTGTATTTTGATATAATTGACAAAATATTGATAATAAACGTTCTAAATAAATTAATTGCATTTCAATATCACCTTTAGTTTTTTCAAGTGTGGAAGTTTGTTTTGTATCAGTCCATTCATGAGCTGATTGAAGAATATCAACAACTTCTTGATGATTATCATCTTGTCGTTCACGTGCTTTATCTAAGGGTGTTCGACCATCTTCATCACGTAAATCAACATTACCACCATATTTTAATAATATACGAACGATTGAAGCACGTCCAAAACAAGCAGCATAATGTAATGATGATGAACGTTGACCACGATTAACATCAGCACCACGTCGACATAAATAATCAACCATTTCACGTGTACCAAATGCTGCAACCCAATTAAGCATTGTTTGACCAACATTATCAGTATAATTTATATCGATATTATTTTCTTCGATATAATTTATAAATGCTTGAAGATCACGTGAACGAATATATTCAATTATTTGTTGTTGTGAACGATCAGTTGGAGTAGCACTTGGAGCTGTAATTGAAGTTGATAATGTTTGTTCAGATGATTCACTTGTTGGAACTGATGAATTTGTTGTACGTGTCGTAGTACTTCCAGGACGAGGAAGGGCTTGACGTCCTAAAAGAATTTTTATAATATGATAGAGAGATGTAGAAAAAATATTTTAATCTTCACTTTAATGACTTTTGATATTAGGAATATGATATTATTGTCAACTAGTATTTTCAGTTTATTTTAGAGTTTCTGATTTCTCGCGAACTGAATATTTGCCGATTATCATAAAACAGTAAAGTAGGAGAGTGGATAGGGAATCGATAAAATAAATCTCGCTACTTTCAAATAAAAATATAGTTCATAGAAATCTGTCTCATCCATATGTAAATCATAAAGTTTTTAGAATTTCAACTATCTTAACTCTAACTAAACGTAGACTATTTTATACTACTATCAATTTACGGATAAACCGATAGAACGTATCTCCTGCTATTAAGATAAATATTTAACAAACCTTCAAAAAGTAAAACGATGAGTAAATCAAGAAATCGCATGATATCTAATACGCATCGTTCATCACCACTACATAAAGCTGCTTCAAGTGCATCAGGAAGATCAGAACGAAGTAAATCATATGTTACTTTTGAACTGCCACGACATAGAGTTGATAATAAACCTGTAACAATTGAAAGATTTGTTGTTACACCACGTGCATTTGATACATTATGTGATTCTGTTGATGAAGTTTTTGAAACATGATGTAATGAACGAAGAAGAACATCTTTTAAACAATAACGCATTAATGGTTCAGGATCAACAGTTTTTCTTGCAAATCTATCAGCTAATGTTGCAAAACATCTTAATGCATTATCAGCTACAAATGCATCATCATGCAAAAGTAAATTTGATAATGATTCAATAGTTTGATCAAGTGTTGAAGAATTTTGTGGATCAATTTTACCAATTAATTTAACAACAACATTTAAAGCTGATTGTAATGAATCTTTATGTATAACTGAATAACAATTATTAATAAAATCAAGTACACAACGAAGACCATCTTGTTCATATATACTTGATGTTTCTCTTGAACATAAACGTTCAAAAACTTTGATAATTTGTTCCGCTAAATCTTTATTTGTACGATCTTCAATATCAACAGCTTGTAAACAAGTACACATTGAACGTATAATTGTTGGATGTGAAGTAATTTTTTTTGCACAATCAACTGATACATCAAGAAAATAGGTTAATGCACGTGCTGTCACTTCGAGAACATGTGTTGGAGCTAATGGATCACTGAATATATCACAGAGAGCTATTATAAAATTAAAATAAATATATATGTCTATATGTATTTTGCTAAAAGTAGTTACCAGGAAGAAAAAGCCGAGGTTGATACCTAAAATAGAAATAAAAAAAAATTAAATAAACTTTTTTATTTAATACATACTGTTCAAAACATCGATCGATATTATCACTCATTAAGACTAGCATGCCTAAAAATGAAATTTTACAAAACTAGACAATTTTATTATTCATTATATATACATACATAATTGTTCCAGTGCAATTATTTGAAGATCACGCTCACCACTTCCATCTCCTTTAAGCCAAGTCAAAAGTTCATCTGGATCGGCTTCCATTATTATATTACTGTTACTTTTCAATGCATATATATATATATCTATATATCTAGAAAAAATAATTTAATCGTATAAATAAAGTTATGATGACTAGTATTAACTATTTCTTAAAATCATTAGAAATGATAGATAATCGTTATTTATAGTGATTATTCAGTGATTATGTTAGTCATGGTCTGATTGATAAAAATCCCAATGAAAATTCGAGAAGTTTTCCTATTTGAATCATACCCAAATGTACTCGTTTTATTATTTTTTTTTCGATTTAAGTTGTGAAAGAAGATCAGCTGTTCTTTTTCACTTCATTTAACTACATCATCGACCTCTATGATATTTTACGTATATATATTTTCTATACATAAGTGACATCTATAGAAAAAATAGATAAAAACATAATATATTTTTATTAATTAGATTATATAAAAAATACATTACATATAGATCAAAAAAATATATACATATAATAATTCCTATTATAGTATTCATTATTATAGTTGATTTCCAAACCATATATAATAATGACAATCATCAGTAACATGAATAAAATCTGAATTATGAATTATTGTTGGTGCATGTTCAATCCAAGATATTGGATTATTATTAATTGATGATCGACTCCATGGATTATAACGAATATGTAAACTACGTAATTGTTTCATACGTCGTAAAATTGGAAGTATTGTATTTGGATTTGCTGATATAGCTAATGATAAATGTTTACATGATTTATTAAAAATACGAACAAGTGATGTAAGAAGACGTACGCTTACATCACCAAGTTCATATTCATCTGAAAAGTAACGAGATATAGTTAACGATTGAATTTGTCGAGATAATAAATCACACACAGTATTATTTGTAAATTTATCTGTTAATTTCATTAGAACTGATATTGGTAATATTAATGAATGAAGTTGTGGCGAATTTAGAAGAAATTGTGCAAAATCTAATGATGTCATATGTAAAGTTCTTCGAAATTCAACATGATGTAAATTCGTTAATGTAAAATACCAATTTGTTGGCAGTGCTGTTTTAAGAATCAATTGCTTAACATAAGTCGATAGAAAACCTTGATCAGGCATACGACATTTTTCATTAAATAATAATGTTTTAACTTTTTCATACGAATTATATTTTATCTTATCAATATCATTCGCATTTAAAGTTGATAGACTTGTATCAAAGGAAGTGATATTAATTGGCATTTCTTTAAAAGCAAATGGTAAACTATAGAGAGTACCTCCAGTTGAATATCGACAATCAATATCACAACGAATAAACCAAGATTTTTCATATAAATAGAATGGTGTAGAAAATGAAGCTATAACATCTTTCATATCATTAGATGTACTATGATAGGATTGAAAAGGAAAACAGAATTGAAATATTTTTAAATATGGTAGACATGATTGAATTATTTCTTCCCAAATTTTACCATTTGGTAATGGACTACGACTACCTTTATCATATAAAATAAGTTTAGTTAATTGTGACAATTGCCGAAGACAAGTTCGTATATCATTTCCATCGTTTTCCTCGATATAGAATATTTTAAGTTGTGTTAATGTTGTTGGTAATGTTACTGGATTACGACCATGAAAACAATTATATTTTATTGTAAATTCAAGTTTTTCAAGATGAGAGAAATTCTATGATATAAATAATCGAAAAAAAACAGATTTTGAAATGTAATTCACTTACCATTATCCAATCAGTATGTTTACATGCATTGATTACAAGTCGTTTTAATGATGGTAATTCTAATGATTGCATGTTTTCTCCACAAATATTTCCAATAGTTAATGAAATAAGTTGATCATATGATATAAGTGGTGAGAAATATTCTTCTATAAGTTTAGATTCTATGTTTATAAGAGAAAGAACTTGTAATTGTGAAAGATATTGTAAAGGAGAATATAGTTGAGAGAAAAGTCTAATTTGTCCAGGTGTTTGATCATTATTTGAAAGACACAATGATTGCCATTGTTGAATATCATGATGTTTAGTAATATAATCAAATTTAAGTTTACTTACAGATTGAAAATCAAATATATTAACGTAATTAAGAAGAAGCTGTTGAAAACGATAGTTTAGTTGTGAAAAAGCATAGGTTGCATCTACACCAGTTAAATATCCGAAAATTTCAACAAAAAGTTCATTAGGTAATCGTTCAAGACATGTATAATCGGGTTTGAAACGCTTTGATGTACTCATGATGAATAATAAATTGTAAAGTACGATAGTGTGAATATATCGAGAAAAAAACAACGTGTAGAGTAAATGTGATTACATTCTCTTGTTATGTGTTTTTTTTACATATTTACTATAGTTTTTATCGAGTAATATGATTCATTAAAGTAAAGGAATGGAGAAAAAAGTTTATCGGAAGAAAAAGAAAAGCAGTTAAAAATAAAAAAACAATTTAAGTAACATGAATCATAAGTTGGAAATTTTTAGGTATGATAATATTAATAGAATTTGCACTACCTAGTAAACATTACGTGTTAAGTACTTCTTATTTTCTAATACAAAATGTTAATAAAAATTATTTCAGTCATGTATCATATTAACTATTAATTGTAGATATATTAATCAGATTATTTAGTGCAACTAATCATTCAATCTGATTGAGTATAGATATACGAATGTGAGTTTAAGTATACGTATAGTACTTACTATACGTCTATTCATACTCAGTCGAACTCTGTAATAGTAAGTGTGGATGTAGTATCCACCCATGTTTATGAATTCGTGACTGAAATAAGTTATATATATATTCAGTGAAGCTAGTTGCTCAGTATTATTGATACTCAGTTAATTGGTATTGATGCATACCTGATACACCTTTCTACATATGTATTAACGATGTGACTTAACTTAGTCAGTCTTCTATAGTAATACTCAAAATTTCTTGAGAAAAAGGGGGTCGTCCAAAAATCATCACTTTTTACTCCTACTAGAAGTGTCGTAATATCAAAGTCCCTGCCACCTAGCTCACGAATCCAATACGCATTCATCTAAGTCTGATCCTTTTCTTTCGGTGTTTCCCGTAGGGAGTACCTGGACCTCAGTACTAGACTTAGGCACTCCCCCATGAGAATCGCTGACAAAAAAAGGATCAGATCTAGACAAATGGATGTCAGATTCGTGATCCTGGTGACAAGGACTTTCGTATTATGACATTTCTGGCGTGAGTAAAAATTCATGATTCTCGACCACCACCTTTAAAATATAACTTAAAAATAAATTTTTATTGGCAGCTTATTCATAAAAGTAAATAACATAAAATTGTTCTCGAATTAACTAACTAATTCATTTACCGCACAAGCGTGACCTTATCTTAAATTGTACTAAGAAAAACAACGCAATGTGAATACTAAACTAAAACGAACAGTATAAATCCAGAGAATCGTTTATCTAATTCTTTGGGATTGATTAACAAAAGTTTCTACTTACGATTATAATTAATCTATTGCAGATGCTTTATTTGCTGAAAAATTATATAATGATTCTTTTATGAAAGACGCTAACGTTTATTTGAAAATAAAATTATTCTAGAATAATCTTCACGAGTATAAAAAATATCAGTTAATTATTAAAAATATATATGACATAATATTTTTTTTTTGTTATCGAAGACGACCGAACCAAAATGAATATTCATTTCCATCTATAGTAATAAAACAATCTAGTTTTTCGAATTTTGTATTTTGTTTTATTAACCATTCTTTGGTAATCTTCATATCATTAGTATGTTCTTTTAAACGAACTTTTAAACTTCGTAAATGTCCCATAGATCTCAAAACTAATCCTGCTACAATATTTCTCGAATAAACAGAAATATTTAAATGATAACAACCTTTATGAAAAACTCGTGTAATTGGTAGAAGTTCATGTACTTTCATATATTCATCTAAACAATTATCTGACGATATTTTTAATGATCGAATTTTACGCGATAATAATTCACAGATAATTTTATCATTCCATTGATTTGTTACTAATTGTAATGTATAATACGATGCTACTAATGATTTTAAATAAGGAGAATATTTAAGTAAACGTGTAAATTCTTCCGGTGATATATTTATTTGATTTCCCAATGTTAATTGATATATTCGCGTAAATGAAAATATCCATTTTCCTGACATACCAGCAAATTTTAAATTTAAATCAATAATATTTTTTGAAATGATTGTGTCATTAAGATTTTCACATGGTATATCAATTGTTAATTGTTTAACATTTTCATATGATTTTTTTAATAAATTATTCGTATTAACAGTTGAAATACTATCTTCGAATGAATGTGTAACAATATCAAAGTGTTGAAATGCAAATGGTAAAGAATAGAGAATAGCAATACTGAATTGTTGATGATAAGTATCACATTGAACAAACCATGATTTATCTTGTAAATAAAATGGAGTTGAAAATGTTGATATAATTCGATTTTTATCACTTGTTACACTAAAATCCCGCCAAAATTTAAAACAAAATTCGAATTTATTTAATAATGGCATTGATGTAACGATTAAATCTTCCCATATTCGTCCGTCAGGTGGTGGATTTTCCCATGCACCATCATATATTGTAAGACTGATTAATTCGGATAAATCTTTCAAGGATGTACGTACGATACTATTATCACCTGGTTGTGTAATGAATACTTTCAATTGTTTTAAAGCTTTTGGCCATATTAAATCATGTTCATGAGTACAATGATGTTCAATAGTATGCTGAAGACTTTCCAGTGGAAGTTTCTAAAAAAAACCGTAGGTACATAGAACTATTATTACGAACATTTTTGGTAAGTTGAAACTCCTAATATATATATATATGTAGAGGGTGCATATAGTTATACCCACACCCACCCTCAAGTCGATGTTTTTAGAAGAAAGTTCTTGATTTATTTATAAAGTCATTACCTTCATCCAACTGCTATGCATACAAGATTTGATAACAAGATGTTTTAATGGCAGCATATCTATCAATGACATACTCTTCCCACATACCGATCCAATTGATAATTTAACGAGATGGGTGAATGATTTTAACTTTGGTAGAAATAATAGTGAACTATTACATGTGACATTACTAATGGATAATGTTTTTAGTTGAGTGTACTTTTCAACAAATGAAAATAATCGAAAGAAGTATACAACTTGACCTGGCGTTTTGTCATTGTCTGAAAGATGTAATGATCGCCATTGATGAATATTCTGTTGTCGAATAATATAATCAAATTTTGCTTTACTGATTGATTCAAAATTAAATGTACGACAATAATCACTAATTAAACATTGAAAACGATTATTCAAACCTGAAAAGGCATGTACGGTGTCTACGCCAGATATGTAACTAAAAATTTCTAGAAAAAGTTCGTTTGGTAATGTTTCAAGTGGCGTAAAATCTCGCTTAAAACGTTTCGCAGCAGACATTGACGTATAAAAGCAGGAAAAAATCAAGTAATAATACTTTTGCGTATTACTTTATGGCATGTATGTCGCCTCGCTCTCGCTCTCTCTCTTTCTTCTTTTTTCACTGAAAGACGTCACATGCTATTCCGCGAAAAAAGAAGCGAATGTGTCATTAAATAAATATAGTTAATAAAACAAGACTCTTGATCATAAATAATTTTTTCGATATTACTCATTCTCTTCCAAGGATAGGTTGTTAAACTATTACTAATACAAAACGATTATATAACTTTACCCGCTACCTAGATTGATAGAGTTCGCAAAATTGTTGAATTGTTATTACACAACCAAAAATAATATTCTTCATATAGAGCAGAATTTTGTGTGTGTTTTTCTTTCGACAGTGTTCTTTGTAAATATTTACTAGTCGCGATAGTAGATCTCCGAAAAAGGTAGATTATATTGTATGCATGCTAAAACCTCACTAGATCCGTTTTCGTAAAGTTCACAACGAAAATTCAATACTTTCTCTACTAGAGATTTCGTATACAATTGATGTTGATTAATAATTTCATATTGACTGCTAGCAAATATTAAAAAAAAACGGTGGACAAGTAAATTTCTTTACAGTAGACAATATCTATTACAAATAATATTATTTGATATTAATACTTTGAATAAATAATAAACACAAAAAAACCATTTCTGTTAGATAATATATTAGTAATACAAGGTTTTATACAAAAAACAACATATAATGCAGTTTTAATCCTATATCTTAGCGAATGATTCGTTTCGATCTCTAACATTTTGCAATCGAACAACATCTTCTGCATCAGCAGTGTACGAATAATCAGCGACAACTCCATTATATTCATTTGGTTTAGATGAGAATCGGCTTTGTAACTTACGACGTTTTACATACATACCAACGACCAAAACTAGAAAAATAATGCCACCTAAAGTACCTAAAATAACACCAACAGGTGATGGTTTATCTCGTGGCGATCCTACTGTTGTAGGATTAACCTCGTCGGTATCGTTAGTAGGTGATGCTGTTGAGGAAATTGTAGTTGTGGTGGAAGCGATGAATCTAGTAGTTGTACTAGTCAATGCTGTAGTTACTTTTGTTGTAGTAGTAGATGTTCTTGTTGTCGTTGGTGGCCTTGTCGGTCGAGCAGTGGAAAGTGTGGGTGTTGTAATTGTTGTCGTTGTTGGCCTTGTCGGTCGAGCGGTGGAAACTGTAGTTGTAGTAGTAGTTGTCATATCATTTGTCGTCATTTCGGTGTGTGGGCTTTCATTTGTCGTTGTTTCAAATTCAGTTGTGCTCTCAGTCGTAGTCGTAGTTG